CGAGAGAGAGAGAGAGAGAGAGAGAGAGAGAGAGAGAGAGAGAGAGAGAGAGAGAGAGATATATCGTAGCTAGTTTTATTCTTCTCTCTTAGAATTTAAGAAAGGGGATAGTGTCTTTATTATCTTGCATGTTGTTGCCTGACATTTTAAATTTCACGTTCGGAAATCGGAATTGGAAAATCTGATTGCATTACGAGCTTACACTTCTTTACAAAGTGCACTAAAACAGCGCGACATCAATGAGTTAAAGTAGGATGGACTTCTTACCCATTAAGGGCGCGCTGTTTTAGAACACTTTAAAAACGCAAACTGTCTTATTCATACATATTGTCCTATTCCCTTTTCTTTTTCTGAAACTTAACCTCTTCACTACTGTGTAGACATACTGGCTTGTGTTCTCCAAAACATGGTTCAATGCCAACAATTTGTTTACCAGTTTACAGGGAAGTATAAGGAGATGTAATTACGACTGTGAAGTTCTTTTTTTTTTAAATAAGGGGAAAAATACAATGGCCTTGTCTCTCTTGAATAAAATGTTTAATCTTGTCAGTTCAAATTAATGGTGGTGGATACGTCTGAGTCTAGTAATGAACGGGTTAAAACGGCAGGCAACAAAATGCACACCAGCCAAAGAGCAACTTTCTGTTTCTGATTTATGTAAGATGGCTCGTAATGTGCCACAGAATTGCCTTAATTCCCGCTGCTAATCGAACATATGTGTCCGCTACAATGCTAAGAGTTCATTTTGATGGATTGGAACAGTGATAGTGACAATCGCTGTTGAACATAATATCTGTTTTCCCCGAATCGACGCTATTTCCCCTTTTGTCAGTCCAGCCTTGCAGAAAACAAACGAGTTTGTCTTTCTGTGGTATTCAGAGACATCTCATGCCTTTTTCCCACAAAAAGAAAAGAATCCAATGCCAACGTTCAATATAAAAAGCATATTTATGCATCACACATTTAAATGTAAGCGTTTGTACGCCCACACATATACAATTTAGAAATTTAGGAGGCGGGCTTCCGTTCCTACCTGTCAGGGCCAACCCGCCTGAGAAGGAGACAACATCCCAGCAGAAAAACCGAGATACTCGATAAAAAATATTCTCTCCAGTCGGTAATCGAGCCTTGGTCTCCTGTGTACGACAGCGAAGCGCCTACCCTTTAACGCCACAGTCACTGGTATGAGTGTGTATGTGTGTGTGTGTGTTTGTGTGTGTGTGTGTGTGTGTGTGTATGTGTGTGTG